TCTATGTAATTTCGGGACACCGTGTATATGTTGATTCCACGACAGGTGGTGCTAACTTTTCTATCCTTGTGGTGTTGAAATTTGTGAAGGGAAGTTATTTGACATAATCTGTGTAGAATTCGCAGCTAAATACTTTACGATGGCTATATATTGCCTTCATCTCTAATTGCCTACGTGTATGATGAGATATGGTTTTTGAATTATTTTCTATTTTTTTACATGAAAATGTCGTTCTCCATTCTAATGAGTGGAACATGATATGTACTCATTTTAATTATGTAAGAGTAGAAGGTATGATCGATGGCAATAATCTGTTTATCGAAATTATTCAAAGTGATTATACGATTATACGAATTTTTTAACAAATGTGGACCATCAATATATCCTTGATTCACTCTTTTTACTAATTCTTCTAATCAACAAGAAATTTCATTCCAAAAATTGAACAAAAACGAAAAAAAAATTGAGTACGCCACTTGAAAACAATTCAAATGATTGAAATCTGCGTGATTGTGCCTTTCCACACAAAAATTTGAACATAGGTGACGTCAGAATGGGAACAGTGTGGTACTTTGGGTGAAAAAGGGGTCTAACCTCAAATTTCATTTTTTAATGGTACCACTCGATAGTATACGTCGAGTTTACTCACGGCTTGGAATATTTGCACTTATTTCAATGCCACCCTCTATATTAAAATTATACCATATAGATTGAGGGAGTCTTTAGTCTATGGTAATATACTACGATTCAGACAACTGATGCTCTGTATAAAAGTATAAAATGCCAATGCGAGACCAGGAATGATCGCCAGTCTGGAAATATATACAGTGCGATATATTTATATAGGATGCCCCAATGATGAAATTCGACGAATTGAAATATATACAGTGCGATATATTTAGGATGCCCCAATAATGAAATTCGACGAATTGAAATCTCATTTCATAATAATCCGTCGATACGATGTGAGAATCATTTATAGATTATAGACTTCCTGTATAAATATCTATATAGTAGGTGAGAACAGATAATGGTGTGCAACAAAGTTCAACGCTTCCGTTGTATGGATGTGACGGAAATAAATAACGCTTAATACTTAGCTTACGATAATGAATCGAGTATACCCCTACCAATCCTTAAATCAAATGAAGATTTAACATATAAATTATATTCGACAGACGATAGCGATGAAGTAGGAAATGCTTCAAATGCATCAATCAATAACTTCTGGAACATATTCATTCAGTATAATAAAAGATGAATATATGTACACATTGATATGATACAGAGAATATTCTCAGAAATTAAAATTTTTCCTAACGAGAAATTCTATCTTGAAAATCAAACAAAAATTAGAAAAAACCTCGAATACGCCACTTCAGCAGAATTCCAATGATTGTGCACGAAAATTTAGGAGCTATACAGTGTAAAATTTTGAACGGAAAAGGGGTCGACCCAAAACTTATTTTGATCCATACATAGGTTTCAATGGTGCCATTCAAATACTTTGAGTCTTCTTAGGGTTCGAATAATATTCATTTATTTTGATATCACTCTGTGTTCAGAGTGGTTCAGAGTGACAGTGATAGTAAAGAAAGCATATTATGGAGAATTTCACTCAGCAGAATATGGAAAAAAGTTTACATGGACATGGGTCCGAAAAGGCTTCAATTCCAATAATATAAAGAGGATGTTATGTTTTAGTGAGAAAGTTAATTTTGAATTGATAGATTGATGATTTTGATAAAATTTTTATCATTAACATCTACTGGACCAATTTGATTTGATTCAAAGTTTCCAGGGGCGTATGGGTGACACAGACATTTTTTTTTTCAATTGTTTTTGTAGCTATATTTCTGAAATTTTAAACATCGAATATGCTCACTAGAAGGCAGTTTTTCATATTTCATGAAATTTTTTCCATATCACGGTTTTCCCTTGGAAATGAAATCAACTTTCGATTTTTCAATGAAACAGCCTGTATTTTATTCCATAATCGGTTAGGAAATATACCAGGTTTGATTGGGCTATGTCAAACGATTACGAAGATGTTCGCGTTCGAAGTTTCCATAAGCTCGAATCTTTTGAGCATATGGAAACTTTAAGACGCGTAATCGTTTGTAATAATCCTATCAAACCTGGTATCGTTGAATTCGTTATAATCAATAACCGATTATGGAATGAATTGAAGGGTTTTCCATTTGAAAATCGAGAGTTGATCACTCCCAGGAAAACCGGAAAATGAAAAAATCACTAAATATGTGAGAAAGTGCTCTTTAGTGAGCATATTCGATGTTTCAAATTTCAGATATATAGGGGTATACCATGAGTCTGTGTCACCCGGTATATACTTAGCGAGCAAGCTATTCGAACAAAAAAATAATTCTCTCTAGTTTCTTGCGGTTTTCATTAATAATTTGAATGAAGTCATGCACTGATGATTTAACATAAATTCATATTCCTTGACTTCCTCAAGTGTCTCGCTACGGTTTCGAAAAAAACAAAAATACCATAACAATACCATTCCTTGAAACGTCAGTTTAACGCCATAATATAAAATTGAAATGCTCAGGAATCATCCAAACAATTATCGCAGTGTATCATTTAATAATGGAAATGAAAGGAAAAAGTATCAATTTCTCTTGACAATGCAAACGGACTTCCGAATTTCCATAGATTTTTTTCTTAAATTAATATCTGATAACAATTTTACCATAAATATTTTGACTGGCCGACTATTCATCTTGTTGTCAAAAATGAATATACTACAATAAATTTCAAGATGACTCCTGACATTTTTTAGTTTTCCTTAAGGAGTTCAAAGACGTGCCGAGGTACAAGCAACAAAATCTTGGTATTCCGTCAATATACCCTCATCACAACATTGTATTGAATTGTATTTTTGTGTTTTCAAAGAACGGAGAATTTGGCTGTCCTTAGACTTTGGACTCACCCTGATCGAATCCCAGAAGACATATGATTGGTTGTTAAGAAAAATACATGTTCAAACATGTAATTATTTATTTCTGATATATTTTACAGATTGCTGAATAAATGTGTATGTGCGACATGTATAGATTTCGATTTGTAATACCAAAATACTGTTTATAAATTCAGCACAGATAAACAATTTCGAATAATATATTTTTTCATTGTCCATTAGAGACATCACAAAAAGGCATCATGGAAGATTTTGACAGTATCTATAGTAGGTATCTATGTTTGTACATGCCCTGCTCAATTCACAAAAATACCTACTTCGATGAAACTTCTGCACAACTATTTGTTCTCCTTATTTTTTGAGAGATCTATTCAGTTTGAGATGCCACACATTTTATGCATACAAAATGTGTTCGATCAAAAATTTCTGCAACTATTTTACAACATTTTCTCTCAATAGATGGCACTTCGTATTCATGCTTCAATGTTTACTAAATGATTGACACATGACATAACTAAATGAAGCAACTAAAATCATCTATATGTAAAAACAGTCTGAAAGAAAACTGGTAATACTTTGCAGAAATTCTTCTTGAAATTCAAAATGACGCATGGCTAATTACGACCTGATAATTACATTGTTCATAAAAGAATTAACTTAAACATATGTGAAACTAAATCGTAACGTACAAAAAGAAACAACGTTTCATCACAGATGAAATAAGCATCAGTATATTTTGCCTACTTCCTACATATGGCAAAACAGTTGATGAACGATATGCCCTCTTTTACTACATCAAGTACTTCCACTGCTGCAAAAACCATTATAAGAGTCAATTTTCAATATTTATGTCGGTAGGTATGTGGTACTCACTATAATTTTTGACCCTTCGAAACAAATTAGCAGTGAAAGTGAGTTGGTAAATATTATGTGAAATCTCGTGCTAAATAGGTTATCAACAACTGTTCATTCCTTATAAAAACATCACTTATTCTAAAAATCACAAGTCTTAACAATAAGAAATCAAAACTTATACAGTACAAGAGAATCACAAACAGCTGTAAGCTGAGGTTTTATGAATATGGATGGGCTGATAGGTATAATTCAATTCAAATTTCGTTTGTAAAAAAAGAAGTAGTGTGTTGGTGCTTGTTGCTTTTCAAAAGGACCACAATGATTAAAACTTTTAGTCAAACTACATTGAACTGGATGTAAGAATAAATTCAATGACAATTTTCTTCATCTCTCTTTTGTTGAAAATTCTTTCGAGAGAATAGCAATGCATTACAATATCTAAGTATATATGAATCGAATACAAGACTATGTATTCAGAATAGTTGTTATATGATATATACATTATATATACATAGTATTCACCATTCCACTATTTGGTATCTGAAAAATATATGGTGGACATTCTTTAGGTTTCCTTTCTCCTCAAGTATAAAAAATAGTGTTTTCCAAACATAATGTGAGAATAATACAAATCACATACGCCACTTAAGTCTTATTTGTTTCCGATGACATTTCGAACGGAATTCCGCGGTTTTCTGTTGAAAAAATTCCAATAATGCCCTCAAACAAATTTTCGAAATTCCGGTACACTTACCCTTTCGGTCTAGTATAAATGTGTTCAAGTCCCTGAAGTGAAAATATCAATTCTTGTCATGTGATGGCGCCTCCTTTATACCTAGTACGAAAAAAACGTGTTTGTAATGAGGGGGTAACATTTTCAGTTCCACTACAATTCGACGGCCTGTTTTTCTGGAAAATTTGTAGAAATACTGTGTCATATGCGAACATATTCAAAAAATCAAATTATAGTTTGGCTTCTTTTTTATGCGAAACTTCACGGGCAACATTGAAGTTGGCAGAAAAGAAGCTATCCTGAAGTATAAAGATCAAATAATATTAAAGAAGAAGTAATATCATGCAATATCTTGGTAATGAGATCAATTATAAAACACTAAAGTATGAAATACCAATATCCCGAACCTTGAACTGAATTGAACCTATCTCACCCACTCCAAACTCCAAACATTCGTCATGACAAACAAATTTATAAATAAAGCGTACCACGCCTCTGGCCATTGACTGAATATTTCGAATTTTTCTTATAAACTATGGCCGCCGCATCGACTTTCTTCTTCTCCATCATCGGCATCGATATATCGGGATGCTCTCGAATCTCCCACACTAAATTAGTCAGACTTCTCGGCCTCGATATCTTCCTGGACCTCTTCTCTGGCTGCTTCTGGCCAGCAGAGTCTCCAGACGCGCGTCCGCCTGAATTGCTGGAGTCCAGAGTACCGTCCAGCTCCATGGCTTGGGCCAAGTTGTTGAGAGACTTATACCGGATGTTGAACAACGGAGAACCCGACTTCGACATGGGGCTTGGGGGAGTTTCCTTCATGGGCGATGCGGACTTCTGCCTCAGCAACCTACTTCGCTGCGAATGACCGTTTTTGACGTAGAGTTTGGGCAGACCTGGAGGAGTTCTCTGCACGTGTACCTCGGCCTTGGGAGGATCCTCCTTCATGGAAGCGGACTTCCTGTTCCTCTTCTCGGCTTGGAGTTTCTTCGTCGGGATGGTTTCGATTGGAGGAGGTTCTGGTTTCGTGAGATCTGAGATGGGGGGCGTGGAGCTGTGGGAGGTGATGGAGGGGGAGGGGTCGGAGAAGGGGGACTTGATGTTTTTGGGGAGGGGAGCGAATCCGCGGACGTAGTCGTATATTTGGTCGATTTCGTCGTAATCTTTCGAGTGGATCGGAATGCGGTTCTCTTCTCTTCGATGGTGCGAATGTTTGGTTCGATGGTTTGCCGAATCTGAAGATGCACTACGTCGCAGCAGAAACCTGTAAACAAAATGAGATATACATTGATAATGGGAAACACTAAATATTCACATGACATAATCTGAAATAAGTGCATTTTTTGCAAATAATGCAAATGTTACTCTATTTTTTTGTTTAACTGCTCACTACGATATTTTTATCTTTTGAAGCGCATGAAAGTAAATTCCTGATCACATTGGATGGATTGGACAGTGAAAAATTAGCAATAGCATAATTTTTGCGTTTGTGGCATCACGAATGAACTTGAATGATCAAATAAACATTATTTGCCAAGATCACTTCGAGAGTTTTTATATGGCGATGCCTGAAATTAGTAATTGAAATAGACCTTATGAAGCGATAATGAAGTATGTAGGAGGAAGTTGTTTCCCCATCTAACTAACAATATCAATCAAATCATAGATGACATTAAAATGTTCGTAAAAAAATATGGGGTATGAACCATCCTGTCGAGCCAAATACCCACCCATTCTTCAGCTCCTGTGAAAGAAATGTACAATACAATGCCAAAACGAGATCGAAACTCATAGATTGTCCCAATGACTCCCGTTCGTTTTGGTCCTTCCGTTCAGATATTCCATCCATTGAAAGTCAAATGGCCGAAATCGTCTCAAAACGAATAGGGCTAACGACATTGTTAGAATACCTACCATGCACCCATTCTCAAAAAGTGTGCACCAGAATTGACCCAGAATCTCTTATTCACCATCTCGAGTGTTTTTTCATCCTGCTGAAAAATACCCAATCTCAAAAAATGGAAACAAAAACCTGCTCAACAACCATAGTCCTATTACCCTGTCATCAGTTATCTCCGAAAGTAATGGAGCAAGCCATCAACATTGAGCTTATCAAATATCTTGAAAGCCCAGGAATCATGAATGATCGACATAATGTAGGTTAGTTATTTACCATCTCGTACAAGTCGAGTGTTTTCCTTCCTGTTGAAAAATAGCTGGAGTCAAACCAATTTTCAAAATAATAGCCAATAACCTGCCCAAAAACTATATGCTTTTTGCTATGTCATCAGTTATCTCCGAAAGTGATGTAGGAAATCATCAATGATAGACAATTTGACTTCCGCCATCGGAGAGCAACTGGAGATTTACTTGCCTACGTATGGCGAAGTTCATTAAAAAACATGGGGAATCACTAGCTGTGGCAGTAGATATATCTAGAGCATTTGACCGTGCTTGATTTCATGCCCTTGAACGTCCTAAAAACAAAAATTTGATCAGTCCTCTAGAGCGAGGTCACAAGCCTCAGGGTGCCATTTAGTAAAAAACATGTTGAGGGTACTTTCAGCTACCACTGAAAAAAGGTGAAAATTAAAACGTTGACATATGTTGCGAATTTTTAGAAAAATTTTACCTTTCCCTCAGAGAATTTATTTATGGAAATGAACCAAAGCGAACACGTGCTCCTCTTCGAGAATATCAACACGCAAGAAGTGTTCTAAAGCTGTTGCTTTTCATACAAACAACCTATCATCGCTGGTGCAAAAATCCTAACTTCGTGACTGGAACAGAATATGTTGAAGCCAGGAATAACTACAGCCAAACATACAATGTCAAAATAATGGCTCTCGTTCGTTCTGGTCCCTTGCTGATTCAGTTTCACTGATAGTTCATTCCCACCAGTGGAAGCAAACATTTTTTCAGAGATATTCGCAGCAAACTCCACCTCAGATTCCCAGAAAACAGTGCAACCATATATTTCTTCCGTTGAAAGTCCGAAATCGCCTTCCATCAGCGCACCATCAGACACATTATGCTTGTTCTCATATCGACTTGGGTTAACGGTCCAGATGGAATACCACCCATTATTCTCAAAAAATGTGCACTAGAATTGACCCAGATCCTCTGCAAGTTATTTACTAATTCGTACGAGTCGAGTGTTTTTCCATCCTGCTGAAAAGTAACTAGAGTCCAACCAATTACGAAAAATGGAAACAAAAACGTGCCCAACAACTATAGGCCTATTGCCCTGTCAACAGTTATCTCCAAAAGTGATGGAGAAAGCCATCACAATTATTGAGCTTATATTATCAAATATCTCGAAAGCTCAGGAATCATTATTGATGGACAATATGGCTTTTGCCATCGGAGAGCAACTGGCGATTTACTTGACTGCGTTACCCATATATGGCAAGGTACATTAGAAGAACATAGAGAATCATTACCTATGTGGCAATTGCAATATCGAAAGCAGTCGAATGACCGTGTTCGATTTTATGCAGCCCCTACAAGTTCTAAAAACTGAAACTTGATCAATCTGCTGGATTCCTTTTTCCACCAGATTTTCGAAGAGAAGTCCCAAGCCTCAGGGTTTCAAATGCAGAAAAACATGTTGAGGGTAGTTTCAGATAACCCTGAAGGGCTATATGTTTCATATTACCAAAGATTACTGAATTCTAGAAGATAGTTCACTTAGTGAAATCCGTTTGTCGGTACAGCCCAACATTGCATTTTTTGCTTTTCTATAAATCATTGCACCGCCAAACGGTTGCGGTCGGTTGACAGCTAATTAGATTGCGATTTCAAAGGCCCCGGCAGTCGTTAGCCGGCAGAATCCAGCGGTCGGCTAGGTTGCGGCGAGATCTCTTAGAAGTCGAAAAATGAACGAGTGAACTGTCTTATAGTTTATCTTCTGTAGTCTATGATATTACTTCCGAAAAATAGGTAAATATATCAAAACGTTGACATATTGAATGTCAATAATCACCTTCCCGATAGATAATTCATTCAAGGTGATAGAGCATCTTGTGAGTGAACAATATTTTTCTAATACCCACCCATTCTTCAGCTCCTGCCCGGCCGCCCCCTTCTTTGCCTCCCCCAGCTTCCCCTCCAGCACCTGGATCCGGTCGGCCACCTCGGCTGCCAGCCGGCCTGCCCTCTCCACCAGCCGCCCAAACTCGGGAGTCGCGCGCAGCTGGTCGTCGTTGCGCGCGCGCAGCAGCTTCAGCGGCGCAGCTAGCGGCAGCGCGGTCACCGAGTGGGCCTCCTTCTGCAGCGGCAGCGCAAATACGTGCTCCTCCTCGAAGACGGATAGCAGGCGCAGTTCAGGAGCGAAGTGGCCGGGGCTCTTGAGGCCGCGGGGCGCCGTGCCGTGCACCAGTCTGGAAACGAGGAACGGGGTTCATGAGACCACAGATGAACTACATGTTCATTGTTTTTTTTTTCATATTTGATACCACGAATGATAATATTTCTAGGAAAAATAGTACCACGGGTTGCATTCGTATGAGTATTCCATGATTGAGACAATAAACGAGCGGCTTGCGAGAGTTGCGCACACTGCATCCATCATTCTGGCTTCCAACAAAGTTGACGTTTCAAAACAAGACCTTTTTTTATCGGATAAATTCCTCTTGGTAACGTGAAACATTCGGCGCAATAATTTTACGAGAAAAACTGTTTGTTTAGTAAGGAGATTTGTCCAGATAAATCAACGACAATATGCAAATAAACAACAATAATGTCTACCTTCATTGATGATTCAGTGTAACTGGTAGTTTGCGGAATGGATTTTCCTAAAACGTCTCATCTTGCTTATTTACGCGTGAACCATACACATCACATCAATCAAACTTGACACGACAGAAATTGGAGTGACATCAGGCGCAAATAGCTACTAGATCAAAAGAGCAGGCAGTTTATCAGCGATAAAAAAGGTGCATCCTTTTTTATCAATGTCAAAATGACTCACGTTGCCGTCCAATAGCGTTTTCCGTGTAGGAGTTGATTTATCGCAGAAAAACTTCTTTGTTGGTAGAGCGAGTCCGATAAAATTTAGTAAACAAAAAAATATTGCTGTAATACAGAAGAGACCGTGAAAATGGCCGATTCTGATTCATTCTAGAGACCAAGAGTGGAAAAGCCACTTATAAATATTACACGAGAGATTTTTTTTGTCGAAGTAAACTTGAAAGGACCCCGCACCATTTACATTAAAATTTTGTCTTCAATGAAATGTTGTGAAAATCTAGGATTAGATTAATTGAATCATGCTGAACAAGAAATGTTCTCAGGTACAAGATGCGTTATGCAAGTTGAAAAAAGTTATGTGCTCTTGAAGCCAAACCATAACCGAAGAAATACTAGATGGGCTTCCTACCCATAGGTTATGAATATAATGTGTGAGTATGAGCATTGTTGATTGTTGCTGATTTTTGTAGAATGTTCGAGTATACCCTTCACTGGTTTTAATTTATTTTTGGGGTTTCCTGTGACTTCTCAGCGCATGTTAGTTATCTGAACGGGTTCAATTCGATATTTGTTGGTCACAATATAAATAAAAAAATGATAATCATTTAAACATCATCTTTAGGTGGCAAGGAGTGATCAGGTCGGTAGTCAGCTGACTATATTTTGGTACCCACATGGGTATTTCTGCCCTTGAGAAAATAGCGTGAAGTGTTTTTTTACCCTCCGCATGTCCTACCTCGATACTCTAGGTAAAACTCATGCGAGAACTGAATTTCCCTCATTTCAATAAAAAATCCCATGATGGGTAATTAATGGGCGGACGTGCCCATCAATGGATGAGCATTTGTTTGAACCTCCGCGTGATCGAGCTCAATAGTGAATGCAAAAATCACGCAAGTTGTGAATTTCTCGAGATGCCCATGGTCCATGGAAAGAAGTATTCATGTGGCTACCAAAATATAATCAGGTAAACACCGACCTCAGCACTGCTTGACACTCAAAAATAATGCTGCATTTTTTTTATTCGCCATTGTGAACAACAAATGTCGAATTGATCCCATTCAGATAACTAGAATGATAATAATAATGATGATAAGTCACTGAACTTCCAAAAAGAAATTCAAACTATATGTATAGTGAAGAGTACTCAAACATTCAACAGAAATCACAGATACATTCATAACCTATAGGTAACAGCAAATACCCTCTAGAATTTCTTATTTTGTTGTGGTGGAGGTTATATCGCTTCTATTCAAGAGCTCATTACTTTTTTTAAAGGGCATAACGGGCCTTGGACCAATGCACATTTCTTGCTCAGCATGATTTAAGCAATCTTATCCTAGATTTTTTACAACATTTCACCGTAGACAAGATTTCAATATAAATAGTGTGGGGTCTTTTCAATGAGAATTTTGTTTCCTGGAAATTTAAAAAACGTCCGTACTTATATGACAAATAATTTCTACTGGCAGTTTTTCGAGTTAAATTTCCTAAAGGCAACAAGAATTGAATTATAAATGACAAGTTAAATTCGACTAAAAAAAAGGCTCCAGTGTAATTCGGTAAGATAATTTAATGAATACGTAAATCACATTATCGTTGATAAATATTTACCGATTTCTCCATTCAAAGACTCTCCGAATCTTTCAGAGATTGAGAAAAAATTACATAAATGCCATCTAAGTATGATTCACAATAATTTTGGTTGTCATGGTTTCCAATGTTAGCTTCTGTTTTGTCGCTGGAAAAGTTGGGGCAAACCTTTTTTGATATCATGATGTAAAAATCACAGCAGCTGATGGGATGTTTTGCTCATGAATTGAATGGTCACTTATAATTACACGGGAGCATTTTTTTGTCGAAGTATGACATTTCCATGAGAAACTTGTTGCCTGGAAATTGAGAAAAAAGAATTGTCTTCGAAAAAATTACGAATCCGTAGTTGGTTGCTGATCCAAATGAGGAAGTCTTATTATTTTCAATAGCATTTGGTTATGGCAACATCGAACTGAACAGGCAATCTCACCCAGCTCCAAACATTTTTCCAAAAAAGGGCATTGTTCCGGTGTTGAAGGTGTTCATAATTTCAAAGCAATATGAATTCATCTCCTAGGATATGTTCAACGGTATAATGAGGCAAAATGGTCTTGATATTGCCTACGGAAATTTTGAATCCGCAGTTATGCTATATTATCCAGGAAATCGAAAAAACTCGAATTTCATCATTCTGTATGAACATTTTCATTTCTGTAAAATTTTTCGAAAACTTGGTGTGACATACCTTAAGAGTTTCGATGTATTTCGAATAATGGATCTCAAAAAGGATGGACGCAGCTTTCTAGCTCTGTGTCATGATTGAAAAACATGCAATTGATTTTTCGAAAAATTAGGGCAAATTCAAAATTGGCACAAATGTAAGTGGTCCACACAATTCTTTGAGTACTTCAATAAACATTCAATACATAAAATAACTGGCTTTTGATAGGAAATTATACTTGCACTTTCACATGAATGGTGTGAAAGTCATTGATACAAAAAACCGAGCAAAAAACCAAGGCGAATACATAATAACAATTAGTTATTTAATGTAGAATTCGAATCAATATATAGGGACTTCTTTCTCAGACTATAACGGAATTTTTTCTGACTACGATTTATGTAAGACATGATTTGCTACATTAACTTACAACGAATTCGTATGGAACCGTTATAAACAAAAACTAGAAGCTTCCTACTATACCTAAATAGGATTTTCATGGACACTGATGGATACCTACTGGATAGAAAACCATGAACAGCAAGAAGACATATAAGCAATATATTGGCACTGAAGGTGGAGAAATAATTTGGGGTACGTTACAAAAGTAACAATCATTCATTTTCATGATCTATTTCATTTTATAGTAGATATACAGGGTGTTCGTGTAATTGAAATACACCAATTTCTACCAAAATAACTTTTTCGGCATATATTCTTTATACTTCCTGTTGGTTTTGATATTCCGTTTCCTTTATTATTCTTATGCCCTAATTTCGAAAACCAAAGGCGTTATTTCAGGGGGTAGGCACCCCGAACAAATATTCATCGCGAGGCCCAAAAATGGAGGCGGTTTTTTATTGTTCAAGATCGAATGCTTTCCAACTGAAAATAAGATTCTTGTCAGATTGACAACATCCTCATATTATTCTCTGATATTAGTCGGTTTCATTTTTCATTTTGACATGCAAATTACCGAAACTTGTGTACAGGGTGGCTGGAATTCCAGCCACCCCGTATATCATTCTTGTGTGCATTGATATGTCGATCGAGTCAACTTTACAGGAGAGACAAAAAACTGATTAACTTCTTTTGAAATTGCCACAAAAATCTGCTTGATATCTTGTATGGAAGATTGATTTTTTCCATTATTTTTATTGAATGTCTGATGGAGACAAGACAATACAACAAACAATAAATTGAAAATTTAAAAAATGGCGCTTGAAGCACTCCGCAGAAGTAGATTCTGTTTATGTCAAAACTGACACTGGCGCTTACACAGTTGATATACCAAATTGAAATTGATGAGCTATTTCTCGTATATGTGTCGTTTATACTGTTTATACCACCATGGTGGTACAAAATATTCAATCATCACGAGAGATCTTGAAAATGCTATTATCTATTATCATTTGAAATTTCAACCACAAGGGAATGTAATGAAAAATATACGTAAATCTCCTGATGTACCATTGTCATTCGAAATGTTATCACAATTCGAAGCATCAATTGAAACATCATTGCAGTTTAAAACCATCCTTTCGATGCCATCAACAGAATTTGTTTGCTTCTAGATATGTTCACCTGCAAAGTAAAGAAATGGCATAAGCGCCAAAAATCAATTGCAGTTTGGAAGCAGTTCTATCATCACCTCACTGACTTGCATCAATCCATGATGGGTTCACAGAATAACATGAAAAAACTTTGAATAGTTGAATCTATAAATATGTTTTTTCGATGTTAGGATCATGAATGTGATTTCCCATAAGCCATGGCGTTTATGCCAAACAAGGTTTCATGATAGTGTTTTGGCATAAAGGCCTCATATTTTCTCCTCAAAAACTAATATTTTGGATGATTGAAATGTCATTTGCACTAGAAGTTCATTCGGATAGTTCAACAAATTAATGTTACCAACTTTCATATAAATCAAATAACTTACTGTGATCTCACAAGCGAATCACCTCACCCCATTGAATTCTTATGGGTAACTGGCTTTTGTGCCATTCGAATTTGCCGAATATGCCTTTTCGACCATTGGATGCAGAATGTTATTACCTATTTTCCAGTACCAAAAAGTAAAAAGTGATCATTTTGGCGAATGTGTCGTTTTGGCATGGACGTGTCGATGTATTTCTTTATGTTCTGGTTCCCACGAAAAGGGATATCCTGTAATGTTCAGAGAACATCGTGAGAACCAAGGGAAATAAGGCCAACTTCTTGAAAATTTCAAGATTTTGTCTTAATCTCAAGTAATCATTCTTTATATCTGAGATACGGGGTGATGTCAATCGTCACCACTGTGGACAAAGAACATACGATCCAAAAATCACAAAAATGTATAAGTAGGGTAGTTTATGAATAGACCCATAAAATATAGATTATTTAGAAGCACCTCGGTGTCCTTCATCTATACCCTTACTGTACGCGCATTTTTTCAATGAATCACCCTGTATAATCGGTGAAGAAGTCATTCAATTGAGAAAAACATCGAAAAGATACTCAGATATACGGAGTATGATATAGTGTTCATTAAAAATGCGAAATTTCAAGCGGTTGTTTCTTGAACCATATTTATTCTAAAAATATTTTGTTCTTTGCTGAGGAAACACCCTGTATATTGATACAGTTGCAACTGATGATCCTCTGGGGGATTTATATTGTTGAATGAATAAACTTCGATCATGAGCATTTAGCTCTTGAATGACACGAGTAAGTATATATATAATCACCCCCAACCTATAAATAATATTGGGGTTGGTAGATAAGATATATTTCTCATAATCTCGCCGGAGAAAGTTGTTGCTATAAAGAAAATTTTTCATGAAATATTAGATGTAGATATCAATTAGTATTTCTTTCGCGCTTGAAAATATCCGTATTTTTTTTTCGATCAGTTTATAATAATATAATTTCCATGGGAAAAATAATCTGACCACGACTTTTTACATTGACTGTTCATGAAATTTTGTCACGTCTGCTACTGCTGATGCACATTTAATTGAAACACAATCTCCTGCGGGTTTTTCTACTTATGGCGTGATATAATAGTTGAGTAACAGTTACCGTTTTTATAAGTTGTTGAGGTTTTTCGTAATATACTATGATTGTCGTAGCGTGATTATTATACGTGGCCGTCAAGTCAAAAGACGTTTTGAATGCTTCATCGATGAGATTGGTATACAACTTCCATCATACAGCGTGTTTCTCACATGAAGTAAAACAACTTAAAAAAAGGATACAATAAGGAAAAGGTTTTGTTATAATGAATAAATAAATTTGAACGAATATTCTTAGTTGAATGTTAACACCATCTTCTAGCCATCAATATATCTTATTGAATACAACCATGTAATTTGTAAATGAATCTTTGACCGAAAGGATTCGTAAGGAGCTGATTATTTCAATATTAACATATGTTTTCAGTAGTAACTTCCATGAGTTTGTCACAAACCTGTTCGTTATATCCAAACTTTCAGATATCTTAATCTATTTACTAACTGGCAACACATTTTCTCAACAGTTTAATTGCTTAAATACAGTATGAAGTGGCTGGTGAGTTTTTATAAAATATTGTTCTTTTATTCTTCCTGTTAGGATAAGAAGTAAAGAAATGGAACCATCCAAACCGTCCGAAAAACCGAATTGAAAATCCAATTTTAATAATTATTAATTTGTCATTTTCGAAGCCTAGCTAAGTACTATATATTCTTCTATGTTTAAGCATAACATATTAAAAATTGACTCATTTAGAAGAATTGTAAGGATTATTTTCAACTCACTGACGATGATTCTCTTTCATTGTGAACGATTAATTGACATAGTTTTCAATTCATCGCAAAAAACGCAAAAGTAGAAAGTATTCTCCATAATTGTTCAAAATTATCAATTTTTATTCTGGGTTGAATATTTTGAGTAGTGGAAAAGATTATTGAAAGAATCGATTATCGACTCGAAATCATAACTATCAATAACCAATATTATATATTAACCAAGCATCATTCATCAATAACAAAATGATTCTTCCTGCTATGAATCTTCCTGCTATGAGTTCTGCTTCTTTATTGAAAAAATTTCTTTTTTTTGTACAACACTGGAAAAACTAAAATTGAAACGCAGTGTATTGAGTTTTAATATAGATAACTTAACATATCAGTGACAGTCGATTGCATTAAGAAAACAGTAAGTGAATTTGAATTAACGTTACATAATTACAAACAAATATATTGAACTGTATATTCGTTTGTAATTTTTTAAAATAGCATCAGTTTGTGATGGAATTATATCAGTTAGTCCATATGCAACAATGTCATTTTTTAACAATATATAAAATTCTCTCAGTGTACTTGGCTCATTTTCAATGAAAAGTTCTCGTATAAACATGCCCACTTACAATTCGTCGTTTGGTGAAACCTACTGAAATTGTATAAAATATGATTATAAAAGGAAGATGTAGGGCACAATCAATATTGATTTTCTTTTACTGAAATTTTTCTTTTCTGATCTCAAATGTAAGTATACATTAGACTTCGAAATTGCTCTAACAATTGTACGTCGTTTTAAAATGATTGATACCGTAGGTCGCCGTATATTCCACTAAGTATATAATGAATGCTAAAAATTAGGTATACCTATGATATTTTTTTTATGTTCTGGTTCCCACGAAAAGGAATATCCTGTAATATAATAATGAAACAATGTTGTCACAAAGGATGTGAGCGAAATTGAGCGAAAATCAACGCAAAGGCGTTGTTCTTTTTTATCAAAAACCATACCTGAAATTATAATGAGATAACGGTATTTAAAGATGAACTTACCTAACTGTTAGGGGCAGCCTTTTACTTAGGAGGTTTTTCGCTGTATGAACACCGCTGATGTTATCTTCTCTAGCTAAGGCGGAAAATTTCCCTCGTTGTTCCATTCCCAGGAGAATGGTATCTCCCCTGTTATCAAGGCACTTAAGGTATCGGCCCTTAGAGCCGGGTAAAACGGCATCGCCGGTAGGGACTAGTATTTCACCTGGAAGACATTTTTAAGTGAAAAACTAAACTTATATACTATTTCACACTCAACTTCCTAACGCCCTGTAGCAAAAGTGAGTGGTTTAACCCAATTCTATTTTGTTTTGGATTGAAATGTGATTTCTTCTCAACACAATGGTTTTTGATTCATTTGAATATCTTTTTTTCAGGAGAAAATACAAGTGTTTCAAGAAAGTATGGATTTTTTAAATATACAGAACACACATGAACTTCGATTAACAACTCGAAAAAACATCTAAAAATTGATATCATTTATTTCCACCCCGTTATTTAGGACTCACCGGCAGAGAAAAGCCTTTATAGGTTACACGGAAAACGAATAGCAGACCTCATAGATGTAGTCAATGATGAGTATGTCCTCCTCGAACTTGAATTACAGCATTCAACCACCCTGGCATATAAATAGTTGATCAAATTTCTCAAGTAGTCTGGAGGAAATATCTCAAATTCTTCTTGAAGGGTGAGTCATAGCTCTCGAATTGTCTCTGAAAACGCCGAACGACGGCAAATGAGCCTCTGAACGGAAGTGCATCGCAAAGATGCTCTATAGGTTCTGAATTATTGTTGATAACAATTCAAAAAAATCCATACTTTCTTAAAATACTTGTATCTTCTCTTGAAAAGAAGATATACACATGAATCAAGAACCATTGTGTTAAGAAGGGATGAAAAAGGATCACACTTCAATCCAAAACATGATGGAGCAGAAGGTTGGCGAATGGTTTTGAATTATTGTTAATAGGCAAAAAAGCCATACTTTCTCATAACACTTGTATCTTTTTCAAAAAACAGGATATTGGCGTGGTTAGAAAACCATTGTATATGTATATGTGTGTGTCCAAAACATGAAAAAGCTAAGTTTAACCACAGAGCGATCAGTATTCTGAATCTAGAACCACCCTGTATTTGTTTCAAATAAATGTCAGTAGATAGTGAATCACAAGTTGAGATAGGGACATGAGAGCTGTTTCGACCAATAATAAATAGTTTCGACACAAAAAAATGCTTAAGTTGAAAAATCTTGATTTTAAACACTTTATATCCCTGAAACCATTACAGCTAGACCCCAAGTGTGATGCATTGATGAAATCAGCTCTCCGGGGAGAATCTAAAAATGCAATAAAATACAAGGTGTTCCATTCAAATAACAAAGTTGTTGCTTCTTTTCGTTAGAAGCGGCAACGCCGCAGGGCTGAAAATATTTTAGGACGATGTCCCCCTCGAAAATGTAGTTGATGTGTTTCAGTTTTTTTTCATATTCCGGTTTTGGCGACCTACAGAGCCTCTGTTTCGTTTTCAAAGGCCCACTTTGTATATAAAAAAGTAACTATATTATATGCAGGTATTTCAAGTGAGTGATTGAGTGAGTGAGTTGGTGAGTGATCGAGTAAGTTAGTCAGTGAGAGAGTAAGCGAATGAGCAAACAATTGAGTGAACGAGTGAATGAATATGTGAGTGAATGAGCGAATGAGTGAATAAGAGAGTAAATGAACGATTAATAAACAGGGGAAAGGGAGGGGAAGAGAAAGCAAGCAAGAGATGGAGGTGGAGGAAGGGAGAAAGGGAGCGAAAAAGGGTGGGGGAAAGGGTGGGATGGAGAAAAAGAGGAAAGAAGGGATGGAGTATGAGAAGAAGAGAGGGAAAAGCGGAAGATGAAGGGAGAGGAAGAGGAAGAGAGGGAGGAAGAGTGGGATAGGAGACGGGAGGGAGCGAAGGAAGGAGTAAGTATAGGCTGCGACACAATTGAAGTTTCATGTTATTAGTGTTGAGTTTCATAATTAATTATAAAATGAACACACAGGTCCTTGTGGCGAACGACAGAACACAAATTTATTCATGAGGAAATGAGTTCCAGCATGTTTTGAACATACGGACGTGAAGGTTTTATGATTTAAAATTTAGAAACCCAAGCAATCACAGCAATACTCATTGTTGGTAAAAAATTATTATATCTTCGATTAAACCATCATAAAATTCACAAGTGAAGAATATTCATGTTTCTGCAACGCCTCTGAAACAACCAAATAGGTGGCATTCCTACGAAAGCGCTGAACGGACATGATACTTTTTTTTTATAATTGCCAGTTTGAACTGGCATTTAGCTATAATTGCCAGTTTGATCTGGCAATTAGCCATAATTGCCAGTTTGAACTGGCAATTAGCCATAATTGCCAGTTTGAACTGGCATTTAGCTATAATTGCCAGTTTGAACTGGCAATTAGTCATAATTGCCAGTTTGATCTGGCAATTAGCCATAATTGCCAGTTTGAACTGGCATTTAGCTATAATTGCCAGTTTGAACTGGCATTTAGCTATAATTGCCAGTTTGAACTGGCATTTAGCTATAATTGCCAGTTTGAACTGGCATTTAGCGCTTCCGTACTGAAGGATCTAGTCATGTTATCGCCATCTAGTGACGCCGAAAAACGCGAACGATTATTTCTACCAACGCAAAGGGCGAGTGGACTGAGGACGGAATGATAGTGATTTTCCCCGAGAATGAAATTTGCAGCCTGAGCCGCAGGCGAATAATGCTGCAATCATTCGAGTGGGAAATTAGTATTCCCTGCGAGTTATACACCATAATTTTTCTACGGCTGTGACAGATAACAGCGACATTTTTGATTTCTTCGTCTTCTAGCCATCTGATTTCCTCTCAAGTAATGCGCATCTATTAGACAGAGCTGTCATTGCTTGAACTGTGACCATCACATTTGCGGGGGTACTTTCGTACGAAAGCACTAAATGCCAGTTCAAACTGGCAATTATGGCGAAATGCCAGTTCAAACTTGCAATTATGGCTAAATGCCAGTTTAAACTTGCAATTATGGCTAATTGCCAGTTCAAACTGGCAATTATAGCTAATTGCCAGATCAAACTGGCAATTATGGCTAAATGCCAGTTTAAACTGGCTATTATGGCTAATTGCCAGTTCAAACTGGCAATTATAGCTAGTTGCCAGATCAAACTGGCAATTATGGCGAATTGCCAGTTCAAACTGGCAAGTATAGCTAATTGCCAGATCAAACTGGCAATTATAAGAAAAAAGTATCATGTCCGTTCAGCGCTTTCGTACATTCCAGATGTTTTAATCCTGTATAGAATCCTGTTTTTTATTTTGGTTACATATATCTTAAATCTTGAACTTCAAAACTTCAAATGTGTCGCAGCCTCAAGAGCCACAGTTTCCATCGTCATCTCACCTGCGGGAATGGTCCTGGCGCCTTCCGGCGTCACAGTACCATCTACCCCCTCTTTTGCCTGCACGCCGCGCATCGGCTCGCGCACCAGACACCCCTCCTCGGGGCGGCGCTTGGCCAGCTCGGCGACGCTCTCGATGCCGCGCACCGCCCGCCCCTCCTCGCTCAGCAGCTCGAAGAGGCCGGCATAGGAGGCGGGGATGGCGAGGCGCGGGCCGACGCTGGCCAGGCGGCGGCCCTCCTTGACCTTGACGGCCTGCGCGACGATCTGGTGGCGCTTGCCGGCCGAGACGAGGAGGAGGGCGCTCTGGAGGCCGGGGCTGGGAAGCGTCGGGACGCCCAGGCCGGCGTACTGAAACAACAATCATTTTACACTTATAATATAATGTGCAGGTGATCTCGTATGTAGAATTATGTCCAGCCACAACCGTCTTCAACTAACAAGCCGTGAAGAAGCAGTCTGGCAACATTGTCCGAACGACCGAACTTGCACCTGTCTGCCATTCAAAGTGTATTGTGTAGGAAGTAAACAAGGAGTTTATGGAAGGTTTTTTTGAAGTTTTCAATTATTAATTGGTGTAATATTGAGATCAAATAATTTTAAAAGTATTAGCAACAATCTAGGAATCGACTCGAGACTGAAAGTGTGTGGCAAGTGCATTCAAAATTGTGTTAAATTGGAGGTTATAGTGAAGTATACTAGTGCTGGTGTATTTGCAAGGGAATTTGTGTTGTTTTTTCAATTTACTCCTGGAAATAAGTAAGTTATTCATTATTCCTTATGAAATATGCCTTCTCATTGTTGTGTGCCAGGATTACAGCTCTGAAAAAAAGCTGGGAAAGGATCATGTCTCAGTTTTTTTATTCCCAAAAGGGGAAGAATTGCGAAGTAAGTGGATAACAGCAATACCTCGAAAAAACTGGACACCATCTCAACGTTCTACAGTATGTTTTATTCATTTTATTGAAAAAGATATCATCAGGTATGATACATTTCCTCTGCCAGATGGATCAATTGGAAAAAATTTGTTACGAGCACCAAAGTTAGTCAAAACAGCAGTTCCTTCAATTTTTCCAAATTTACCAAAATATTTTTCAAAACCAGCTAAACCATCAAGAACTGATCCAAATGAAAGACGTCAGAAATATTTAGATATTCAAAGTAATATAATAGAACAGTTTGAAAAATCAGACCTCATCCACAAGGGAATATGTTGAGAAAGTTGAAATTGATACTTGGAAAATCCATAAGACTGATGATAAATTGTATTTTTAAGAATTAGATTTGCAAGCAAATGTTTTTTATCCCGATGATGTAAATACTTTACAAATTGTTTCTCAAGTTATAATATCCAATGAGATGGAGGTCCAAGTTTTTCTTGGTGATAATAAACTTGGATTCAATGAATTGAAATGGATTCTTACTCATGATATGAAATTGAATAGATGGTCACAACTTGAAAATATTCTAGCTAGATTCAAAAACATCTCAGATCAAACTGACAAACACTCAGATATGAATGAAAAATTCGATATCTCCATAAGTTTTATTTTAACAAAATGTTCAAAATTACGGCTTCAGTTCATGACCAAGGGAATTATTCAACCACATTATTCCTCGTTCTTCACTCTGTAAGTTCACTCTCCTGTATTTTTTACCTATTCAACAAAATAATCCGAGAAAATTACGTTAAACCAAACATTCAAAGCTCGCGCTCATATAAAAACCATTGTATTGCTAGGCGCGAATGGGACCGACGGTTTCCGTTCGTGCGACGTTGCCAGTATCTCAGCACGGCTTGTTAGTTGAAGACGGCTGTGGTCCAGCGTGAACATTATACGAACGATGAGTAAGATCGTCGGTTGTTGTTCGTCCTTGCATTTTTAGTTGCTTTGCATCTATAAAATGGCGGAACAAGTAAGTGTACTGTTATTAAAAAATAGTCTACTGAAATTGCAGATGTTGAGAAGAATTTCCAAAAATAAAAGCATTCCCCCATGAAATATTTCGAAAACTATTGAACTTCGGGGAATTTCATCATTTATATAAACAGCTATACGTGCAGATCCAAACACATTTCGTCAATACACACGAATAGCTCCAGCTACATTTGATTTAATTGTAGAAGCAATACGTGACGAGTGTTATCATTGCACAACAAACTTTCAAAAGCCCATTACAGTGGAAGATTTCCTTTATTCCAGAGTAAGTAACGTTTTTGGATTTCAGGAATTAGCACTTCCATCGTACGTGTTTTGCGTGCAAAAACAAAACATGTTCGGATTTTAAACAAAGCGTGCGTTGCGAGTTCTCGAAATCACCCCCAACGCACGCGCAATGCATCCACTTTGGACAGTCTTATATAAATACAATGGTTTGATCGCAGACGTGCACCGCATCGCACGTATCGCATCGCACGCACCGCATCGCACGGATCGCATCGCACGCACCGCATCGCACGTATCGCTCGAATCGTGTTCAAACTGGACATAGCATAAGGCGATGAATCATTCAAGACAACAACTTGAAGAAATAAATTCGGAGAAAATCCAAAATACAATAATATGATAATATGAATTAAGTTGGTGTGAAAATCGACAACTACATCAATTCTCGAAATGACATAATATAGTTATTGTGAGTGTTTTAGATAGCATTGTATTCGCGGCTCATATGGACTGCTGATATAGTACTCATACAGGGTGATTCACGGTGGATTTTGTTTTTTCCCTTTGATAATTAGTTGTGTTCTATCGACCTAAAATATTCTCAGCGTTGCGACGTTGCCGCTTATATTGAAAAGTAGCAATGGAGCACCCATTTTCAGATTCTCCCTGAAGAGCTGATTCCATCGATCTATCACACTTGGGGTTTAGCGGGAATGATACCAAAGATATAGGGTGTGAAAAATTGTATTTTTTTGTGTCGAAACTATTTATAATTCATCAAAACGGTTTTCATGTCCCTATCATAACTTTTCATGTACTATCAATTGATATTTAATTGAAATAAATACAGGGTGGTTCAGAATGGAGATTTTAGACCACCCTGTATCTATTTCAATTGAATATCAATTGATAGTACATGGAGAGTTAAGATAGGGAAATGAAAACCGTTTTGATAAATTATGAATAGTTTGGACACAAAAAATTTTTAAATTTGAAAAATTTCGATTTTTCACAACCTATATCTTTGGTATCATTGCCGCTTGTCCCCAAATATGACAGATAGATGAAATCAGCTCTTCAGGAGTAACTTTACCTTTGAAAACATCCATTCCGATGCTTGGTATTACTATCAGCAATAACCTTTCTTGTGAAAATCACGTGAGATTAACTGCTGAAAGTGCAACCCAAAAACTTGGTTTGCTGTTTCGATCCAGGAGTTATTTGACTTCCAGTCAGCTGCTTAGGTTCTATAAGGCACTATACTGTTTCCATATTTGAAGTGCAGCCCCCAAACATACCCTGAAACTGTTGGATTCTGCCAAAAAAAGGGGAGTTCGTCTCGTGGGTGATGCCCCGCTCACAAACTCACTCACTTCTCTAGAACACCGTAGAAAAGTTGGCGATCTGGCTCTATTTTATAGATATTTCCATGGACAATGATCTTCTGAAATATCAACAATTGTTCCTCCCTTGGCAGTCCCCGCGAGATTAACCCGTCGAGTTGAGGCTTCGTACCCCTTCGTGGTCACTTTGGAGACCTGCAGAACATCTCTCTCCAAAGACTCGTTCATCCAACGAACAACGAGGCTCTGGAACATATTGATGCCAAGGGAGGTGTTTCCCGAGGCATATAAACTCCAGAAATTTAAGAAGAACACCAATTCCTACCTAATTTCCCTCGGTTCTCACGATGTTCTCTGAACATTACAGGATATCCCTTTTCGAGGGAACCAGAACATAAAAACAAAAATATATAAGCGGCAACGTCGCAACTCTGAGAATACTTCAGGTCGATAGATCACAACTAATTATCCAAGGCACCAACTCTTGAAAAAAATCCCGAGTTACGTTCTCCAGAAACGTCTAATGTGCCATTTACGTGAATCACCTTGTATAGTATTATCCCTGAGAAAAGAGCAGACATGTTTTGAATGAGTGTCGAAGGTGATAGGTCAAGTATAGGAAAATATTGCGATTTTGGTAAGAGGAAAGTTCTTATGCTATTTTTTCAACCACTCTGTTTGACTCACCTGGCCCTTGATTATCTTGACGACGGCGGGCAGCCGATGCTTGGAAACGAACTCGCGCAAGTAGCTGCCCTCCTCGGCCCAACGCGCCGCAGCCACTGTGATCTGACCATCGGTCGCCGCCATCTTGTCATCACTACTCGGTCATTCCTAGAACTAAAAAAGAACGACTATATTAAACAGAATAACATTATAAAATACAATGCTTTTCTACAGCACTATATATATAACTATATAATCTCTATCATTTTTCACTCCTTTTCATGATGTAAAGTGTGTTTTTTCTACCAAGGTATAGGTAGTTTGCGTCATTTCAAGAAATACTAGTCAATAATAGTTATTTATACATCAAGGTAGTGAAGAATACCATTATTATAACACAGGGACCCAGATTATATCCCGACGCTTCAGCCAAGGCATATACTTAAGGTCCCGTGGTAATGATCACTATACCAATGTAGCAATTATCATAGTTCTGTGAAAATCACACTATTTGACAAGAATTGGTCCATATTTCAGTTTCACATCAGAACTATAATGATTGAAATATATTAAAGTAGTGAACAAAATTCAATAAACACCTTGGTATAAATAATATTATGACCACGGGACCTTTATATCACTCGGCTGATCCCTCGGGATATCATCTTGGTCCCTGGGTAATAATGATACTCTTTACTACCTTGGGGTACAAATAACTATTTCCGCATCCAAAGTAACTGATATTCCTGTTGATTCCTACACACAATAGTAACATACAATATTTTCATACAACTGTCACAGAGGAGGTCAACCTCCTTCAACTAATGATGTATTGAAAATGATTAAATGATATTTCGCAATTATTATCAAAAGTACATATTATTATTATTATTTTTTTTTTATCGCTTGGAGCGCACGAAAGGGAATCCCTATAATGTTCAAAGAACATCGTGCGTTCCTAGGGGGGATAGGGACAGGAGGTAGGTATTGGAATTTTTTTTGAACTTTTGGAGATTATATGTTGTTGGGAATATTTCCACAGGCAATGCATTCCAGAGCCTAGCCGTTCTATGGATGAAGGAGTCTTGATAAAGTGCTGTTCGACATCTTTCGAGGTTGACAACGAAAGGATGTGCTGACTGGGCTTGTCTAGTTCGTCTGATTGGTATTATACTCATTTCATGTATCTTTATTAATAACACAGCCAGAGCAAAACCTTCGGCTAATTTGAATAAATCGCTCATCCTGATCGCGTCCAGCGATGCTGATCAAATCGTACATGAGATGCGAGCATATTATTATCTAATACGCGAAGATAACGTGTCGCCTTTTGCCCGCTCCCATCTCTATTTCACTGGCACTCCATATGGAATACGGAGTCAGCCGCCTTGATTTGTTCGCTTGCTGAATCCCGTAAAGGAGCCCATAGACTGCGTTTTCGGTGTGCTGTTTTGTTCGTCGAACAGGTATGTTGAAATAAGAATGACGCAAAACTGAAGTGTGTGGTATGTGGCTAGCGAAAACGACCATTTTGCAGCCTGAATCTTTTCTAAATCATTGATAAGAGGTTAATAGCCCGACCCAAGCGTTTGCTTTCAGAACACAAGCACAGAAAATATCAATGACATATTTGCAATGTTGCCGGACGTTCAATATTAGTTGAAAGATATAGTTTGGTGGGAGGGCAAATTTTTTTTTCTGATTTATCGTGTCGTTTTGTCTCATAGAACACCTTATTTTATTCATCGCCCCAATTTCGGAAACACCCTGTATACCTCTATTAACTTTGGGCAAATTCATTGAAGGAAGAGGCCAATAAGACAGAAACAACTCTCATTGGAGTAACCCTCTAGTGACATCAGAGGTCAGAGATCTATGTTTATTCAATTTTCATATTATGTCCCAAAGAGAACTAAAGAAAACTTAGAAGACACATAGAAAATGAGCACAATCGGAACAACCTGTTTGCTGAAAGGCAAAATGTCCTTATTGGGAAGCAGCAGAAGTCATGTATATGATATCCTCATGATGAGAAGGAATAATACCTTGCCAATTCTGAACTTCAACAAAGCCCCAAACATACTGTCATCCATACGAGGGAAGAATGGAATGACACAACACCTGGCGTGCCTCCTCCTAATGAGTCAATCTGGTACACGGATGGCTTAAAATTTGGGGACAGTTCAGGTGCAGGGGTATACAATGAAGAAACAGGGAAAGAAATTTCAGTTCCTTTGGGCGAATATGCCTCAGTGTTCCAGGCAGAAGTACTTGCAATACTCGCCTGCGTCCAAGAAAACCTAATTATGAGAGGTCGTAGACCAATCACTATATGCTCGGACAGCAAAGCTGCAATACTGGCTTTGCAATCCAATAGGATCACATCCAAATTGGTGTCCGAGTGCAGAAAAGCTTTGGAAAACCTGGCAAAATCAAGAAAAGTCAGCCTCATGTGGGTCCCGGGACATTCGGGAATACCCGGAAACGAGGAGGCAGACAGACTGGCAAAGATCGGTTCAGGACGGACCTCGGTCGGACCGGAACCAATCTTGGGAATACCGAATAGCCCGGCAATGTCCTCTCTAGAGGAACAGCTGCAAAAGCAATTCCTCAAAATATGGCAGGACACACCAGGAATGAGACAATCGAAGCTCCACATAAAGGAACCTTCGAAGAGGCTCGCAAAAGAGGTTTCATTCCTAAACAGGCGAAACCTTAAAATGGTAGTGGGGCTCCTAACGGGGCACAACCACTCAATAGGCACCTAGAGCTTATTGGGATCAAGGATGACCCCCTTTGCAGATGGTACCTGGAAGATGACGAAACGTCATCACATGTCCTCACTGAGTGTCCAGCACTGACGCATCAGAGGAGGGCTGTCATGGCAACATAATTTTGAGGCCAGAGGACGTAAAAGAGATTCAGCTGAGGAAGCTGCTGAACTCCTCCAAGGCAGTCGGCATACCCAGCTGAATGTCGTAACATGTGGGCGTACAATGGGCCCGAATAAGGAGGCCCACGTGCAGGGGGTTCACCCGCCCACCAGTGCTTCGAAGAAGAAGAAGAAGATGAAGAAGAAGAAGAAGATGAAGAAGAAGAAGAAGAAGAAGAAGAAGAAGAAGAAGAAGAAGAAGAAGAAGAAGAAGAAGAAGAAGAAGAGGAAGAAGAAGAAGAAGAAGAAGAAGAAGAAGAAGAAGAAGAAGAAGAAGAAGAAGAAGAAGAAGAAGAAGAAGATTGGTACCAGTTTGTACATTCTCAAATGTTTCTGAGAATTATTCTTCCATTGTGTCTGCAGATCACATGATTGAGAATTAACGTAAATTAAGTTATTTTGTTATCACCTATAATAATGGTAGTAATGTTCACAGGATTGTGAAACATCACGTTCTCATAACGTAAATTCATTCCTCATGAACCCCATGATCTACTGTTACCTATGTCGGTTCACAAATCAAACTGGATATGAATCAATAAAACGGTTTTACGAACCAATGCACAGTAACATTGCGGCGGCATTAATTTCATAATGATTGAGTGTTACCCATTTGAATACTTAATAAACGTCTATTGTTTTGTGTAGGTCTAACTATAATGGTGGGATGAATAACCTTTTGGCTAATGAGTTTGCGATTGAGAAATTCCATACAGTGACTCGGCCGATTTTGACGAATGTTCAGTTAATCATTATGAGTCAAGTTCATTAAATTCTTGTTAATTATGGTACACGAAGGTCAGATACATACCTACAAAATTCAGATCTTGGAACGAATCAACAATGATGATTAACATTTTTCAAGGATGGTGTCTCGACTGTTTGGGAGTATAGAGGTTCAAATAAACAATGCAAAAGAATGAGGAATAGGAACAAGAAATAGCTCAATGCTGGATATCAACTCACATGATGTTGCAAGATCTCGATATTTCTCCAATCACATGTCTGAATTTTACAAATTTATTATTCTCATGTGAAGTGCTGTGCATCTGACAATTTCTATAATTTCTTCCGTATAACAGGCGAGCTTCCTCACTTTAGTGCTCTCATGATGTAACTGATTCACTGATGATGGAACTTCGAAACATGTCCATTATTCAATAAATTTGGGTATAACTCTGATAGAGCTGACTGTATGATTTTTGTCCTGTAACTGCTGTCCAATTGCTTTTGAATTCGCCACAAAAGCACATGACATAAAATAGTATAGTTTACCTAACAAGTACGGAAAGTGATGCTTTTCCACACGCGATTGCAGAAAAATCTTAGTGCGGAAAAGTAAATTTGTCAAGGTTCTGGGGAATAGACTGACATTTGAATATTTGATAATAAATAAATGTTCCTTTGACCTTTATGTCAACTTTTGTTTTTTTTTTCCGCACGCTAGTAGAAAAAATATTGTACCTAACACGTGCGTCACTTTTCGCACTTGTTAGGTAAACTACTGTGGGAAATTTCCCCGCTCTTATGTTTGCTGCATTTTCTTATATTTGTATATTTAATTAATTTGTCTGTACCATATTAGATTCTATACTCCATACATTTTCATCATCCTGTATTGAATATCAACCGAAGTGTCTGGGTTTTTCCCGATAATGGTTATTTTCTACCTCGCTACGAAATGCCAACTATACTTATATATCTTCAACGTTTATCCTTGATCATCTGGTTATAGGATGTTCATACCCTGTTTCGAGCCCTTATTTTTAGTCACGGTAAAGGTTAGGTACCTTGCCAGCTCTATAAACAATTGGTACTTATTCTCGAACCTTCAGAGTGAACAGTTAATTTCAATATTCATCCGGTTAAACAGTTGGCACTCTTATTAACAGCATTTCGATCGCATTTACATTCTTTCGAATATACGATTCAACAACTATATAATATAGTGTTCGGCCCTGCCACAACAACAATCAAACATACTGAAGAAGAAAGACTATTCAAAAAGGCGTACGGTTCTTCCTATAACTGATACCACGACGTGATATTTTTTGTGAGTGATAGTTTATTTCAAGTGACGCGTATTCCTTTCCAATACACGTTGAAAAATCCTATTCAGTGATACTTTTCGCCAAACTAGAAATGCACAAATAGTGTCTACAAGTACTCAAATGTTGAATTCCAGTAAAAATTGTGTAGGTACATGATTTCT